AAAATACTTTCTCAACTTTGTCTTTAAGGAAAACTGCAAGAACAGGAAAAAATCTTATCTTAATGCTCTCCATAAGCCTAACAAATGCTACATGTGTCTTGTCTAAAATCCACTTTAAAAGTCAATCTGTATTAGGATGTAGAGTGAAGGTGAGGCATATGCAGAATACTGACATGTACAAAAAAAAATTTAAAGCCTACAAACACTGCAGTCTGAAATCCAGTCAAAGCCCACACTAACTTATTTTGCTCGTATTTAATAAATGGAATGTTTTTTTTTGAAACAAACCCATTTTTATTTATGTAAACATATACTAGTTCATCCTCAAAGTGCGAAAGGTTGACAAGGAGGATGCATAAATAGAAGCTGCAGGCCCATCATTGTCAACATGCCAACTGCTCTCTGCAGAGAATCATAGAGACATGGAGACCTCATTCTAGCAGGCCTAGCAGGCTGAACGGAAAAAAGCCTTTGGAAAAGAAGGAAAGGAGGACACACAATAATTGTAAAATGTATTGAAAATGAAAAAGATATGGAACCACCATTCGAGGATCAGCTCACAATTAACAATAAAGCATCCGCTGCAAGCAGGTTTTTAAACTATTGGCCATCTTGTTTAATATCTGTGACTGTGTCCCTTAAAATCACTCAGAATTATGTCTGTTACTAATGGGCTTTGTAATTTTAAAACACAGTGATGGAATATGTGGTATACACAACTTCCATCTGTCGTGTGAGCAAAGATAACTTTATTTAAGATTGTAATAATGTGTGTTCAATAGTTGTATTAGCAATACACAGTGAAAAAAAAAGAAATACAATTTTTTTTCCATTTCAATATTCCAACCAAGCAACCCGATGTATAGGTCTGCATTCTGCTGGTGTCTGCAAGCTGTTGCTAGAATGGATGGATGAGGGTGAGTGGGCTCTAATTTATATAGTAAAAAAAATGATCACTTTGCAGGTAAAACTTAATCACAAAGACAGCATCTGTGGAGCCTCTGTCTGTGTTTTGAGGGTTTTAATAATACTATCTAGAAGAATTTCAGTAATTGATTTTTTGAAAAAGTTAGTTTTCAAATCAGATCATTCTATTTTGAAACCTAAGATTACCTAGGAGAAGTGTTTCTTATACATTAGTCCAGTTGGATTACACTTAGTGTGTGTAGTCAACTGAGATAGCAGGCCGTTGGTCGACTCATAAAAAGGTCTTGTAAAGCTTGAAGGCTACAACCAATATGCTTCTACACTTGATGTTCCTCAGACTGGCAATAAAAATGTTTTTCAGAGGCTCATATGGGGAGTGGGACTGTTACACAAGCTACTGCAACTATTCACATACTGAAAACCATACTACATAAAGTAGGTCTGTGAAAAGTTGACAGAAAACATGTAAAACACAAAGTTCTTCACCATTTCTCTGTGCCACCTGGGAGAAATGCCTGGACTAAATAAAATGTTCAAATAACTTTTTTTTTGTTCCTGGTGGTTTGTTTATTACTATGCGCCTTATGCCAAGCTACATTGTGCTCAAAGCGGCATGTGCGCTTTCCGGCTCTGTTCAAAGCTTAGTGGATTTGACTAGGGTACACAGTTGACATGTGGGTGCAGACACTTGCCCCAGATGGGGGCACTGACCCTGGTGATGCCAGCCGAGTAGGCGGCCACAGGGGCCTGCTAGTCCACACAAATGCCTTGGAGAAAGAAAGTCCAGATGCTCTACCATGCTCTGGCTCTTGACACTCTCGACATGTTGCTTGTGACATTGTTTTATAGGCCACAATAAAAAATATCCTGCTGTGATGAACCATCGTCCCCTGTTTTAGACAGAAGCATTAGTTTGGGTTTATTCTACAGTGATCAACTGTTATTTCCAGTGAAGTAAAGCAATTTTGTAAATGTTGAACATCTGGTCAGTTCAAGAGAGTATGGAAATCCACTTAGAGCAAATTAAAACAAATGGGGTGACTCGGTAATGATTTCATAAGCAATTAGGATTCCTAATACTTCACAAGGAAAACACGTTTAGCTCTGCACTTGTCTCATCTATCAATCATGCTTGTTGAAGAAGTGTGCATGTCAGATAGCATAATCTCAAGTTTTATCAACAGGGACATGGGGAAAAAAGATTTTTTTTCTAATCAGCTTCCTAAAAGCATTTGTCTGTTTCCCCTCCCCCATCCTGGTGCCATCCTGGCAAAAGCTAAATGAATTAAACTCTCATTAAATATGCATTTCATTGTTAATCATTTGCAAGCGGAGAGGATTAGGTCACAATTTGTGAAATGACAAAAAAAATCAATCCTATCTTAAAAATAGCCTCTTGAAATTGCATTAAACACAATACTATGATCCATCAGTCAGTATTTTAAACAATAAAATTAATAAATCAGTTAATCTATAAAACAGATAAGATACTGACCTGTACATAACTCTCATAATAAAATGACCATATGTTTACTCCATCTGTTCATGCTAATGGATTTGTAAACAGAGAAAATACTATATTCAGGTCAACCATTCATTATTTCTATCAATGTTAACTCTATCTATCTGTCTGTCTGCCTGTCTGTCTGTCACTAAGGTTAGAACTAACATAATGCAGACAAGAGTAGTTATATCAAACTAGAGTTCTACTTTAGCGAATCAATTTGCCTTTCAACCTTTAAAATGCTAAATTAATGCGCAAAATGTTTGGACATGATTAATTAATGGTAGGAGGAATTAAACACGCCTCTCTCCCGCACACTACCTTATTTTCATCAACCTTCACAGAAAACACAGCAGGTGATCAGGATGAAATACTGATGTCAAAAGTCTCCTCTAATATCAAATTCCTCAAAATATCTGAAGCACATATAGAATTTTAGAACAGAATGAGAGAGAGGAGCCAAGACTCAAGCCAAGGCTGTCAACTGGAGAGGAACAGAGGCCGCCTTGCATTTGTATGTCTCTGCCATCCAGTCAAGTTTCAGTTTACATCCATGTCTGTCCAGACTCATATAATATATAAGGTGAAGAGTTTAAAGGAATTTTAATAAAGTATATTAAGTGTATTTTGTAATAATTAGCATATGAATTCTTGAGTTATGGCCAAAAAAATATTTTGGGAGGTTATGGTGACCTTGACATTTGACCACCAAACACTTATCATTTCATTCTTGAGTCCAAGTGAACGTTTGTGCCAAATTTGAAGAAATTCCTTCAAGGCGTTCATGAGATATTGTGTTCACGAGAATGGGACAGACAAACGGGCAACCTCAAAAAAAAAAGAAGAATTGAGTGTATTTAATCATAATTAGCGTATGAATTCTTGAGTTATGGCCAAAAACATGTTTTCTGAGGTCACAGCTGTGGTCGGCGTGGAGGCATAATAAAGATGTGCAACAGGAAAACACTAAATATCCTGCTATGTGTGTTCCAACAGAACAGCTTAAAGAGAAACTGAGTGAGAACACAAGGGCAGAACACCAAGCTGCTGTAACCTCCAACCTCCTCCTGGCTTAAGTTCAGCTTCCCATTCACAGGATGCATTTAAAGAGCTCTGTATTTGATTGTCCTCTGATTTCATTTCACATGGAGACAAGTTAGTACACAAAAAGGAACTATTCAAGGTTTAATGAAAATGTTTAGTCAATGCAGGTAAGAACCTTGACAGGTGAAAAAGCAGCCTGGGTTTAGCACATCAAGTGTGTATTTCATAACTGCCAAGGTCATTGTGATCGCAACAGTCCAACAAGGTAGGAGTGGGTTGGAGGACGATCCCCACTATCTCCAAAGCTGCAGGCAACGTCGCCCGTGTCATCCTAATGTTTTATTCATACAAGTCATATTATGGCATTCAGAAACTGAGATCAAAATCTGCTCTGGCAGAAATATTTAATATCATACCTACTTCTCTACCCTTCTCCATCTGGTTAGCCAGAATGAGAGAGAGGGGTAGACAGCCTCCTTCAGCTCAGCCATGTTGGATTATTAAAAGTGAAGCTTTCAAAGAGGTCACTGCTCAGGGAAAAAAGAAAAAACTGTAGCATGCATCAATTATCTAGCAGAGTTTGTGGCATACTGAAGACTGTCTTGTCACATTTCCCAATATGGCTGAGCTACAGAGAGGTCCTTGGCTAGTGCTGACATTTAGAAGCTGGTGAATTGTGAAAATCCCAGTCTGTTTGTCAAAAAAATGGACAAAAGACCATAATGACTGCTTGCAAAGTCCCTTCAGGCTTGAAATTCCTTCTCAATGTCATTGGCATAACTAGACACAGGCATCCAGCTCTGTCGCTCTAATTTTTCATGTCTGGACAACTGCAACTTACACTGATCAATACATGGTTTACTGGTATCGCTGGAGGACAATAGAGCAATTCCAATGATTCACGACAACAAATATAGCACACTGCCTGCAAACTTCTCACACTGGAGGAATGATCATTTTCTGTCCTATTCCTTGCACATGACCAGTGACGAACTCAAAGTGGCATGACCGCGTTGGAAGTGTAATCTACACAGCCATTTTCAGACTTTGTTGTAAGAACACCCCAGTTTCCTATCTTTACGTATGACCTACATCTTGCCAGTTGTATGAGCTCAAAGTATTTGCATTTATTTTATAACTACATTCCAAAACTTCTAAATTGTAACGTTGGTATATATTGCTTAAAACGTGTTAAATGTTTAGAAATACATGTACATAGTGTAGAAGAGAATGTTTCTGTCTATGCGAGCAAATCTACCATGGAAAAAACAAGATAAAAGTAGCATAATCTGTCTGTTGTTTGGAAGCATTGTATCTGTATGGGCTATGGGAGTAAGTATAAGATTCCCTCACAGCTGAAAAAGACGACTCCCCCATTCCTACGCATTATTCTCCTTCTGAGTTTGAATCTGTGTGAAGCACAATTCCATGAAACCCCCTTTCTATCCTCCTGTTCTCCTCCTCCTAACTCCCCACCTGCCTCCCCATCTCTGTGTCTGTGGTGGCACGGGGAGAAGTGGCATACCTTTGTTCATGTCAATCAGCTGCTTCTTCTTCTGCTGGCGCTCCTGCTTCTCGCGCTCTGCTTTCTCCTTCGCCAGCTTGGCTCTCTTGATCTTCTCCTCCATCTCCCTCTTCTTGTGGTTCTCCTTCACTGCTTCCTGATGAGGCGCACACACACACACACACACACACGCACACACGCACACACGCACACACACAGACAGATAAAATCAGAATCTGGCTCCTGCCACCTCCACTCTTTTAGTGTCTTCGCTACTGTATAGTGTTCAGAAGCAGCAGCATGCCATCAGCAAATTCTTATTCAGAGAAGGGTTTGATAGTTAGAGATAGGCTGCTGGAATAAACAACATATCATGCCTTGTGTATGGGTATTTCTTTTAATACAAGCCTATTTGTCTGTAAGGCTTTGGCAGTACTTTACATATTTTCAATAACGCAGAGTTGATTCATTGTCAATAATACATCAATATGGCACTATATATATATATATATATATGTATTATATATATATATATATATATATATATATATACTGTATAGATACTATACTATATAAAGCTTGATGATCATCACACATATGAACCATGCCAGTGTATTTCCTTTGATAATATAAGGAAGCCACTGCATGAGAAAAAGAAAAAATGCAACAGCAGTGTGCCTGTCTCTGAGGAGGGAGAAAGAGATATCATCCTTGTCTTCCTTCGTGACCAGCTGAAATGTCAGGAAAGAGTCAGAGAAAGAGAGATAATCAACGGTACGGATTCAGCCTTTACAAATGTGTCAGTTTGTTCTCGTGCTGCCGAGAGAAGGGAGGAAGATGCAACCGTGTGACCTTTGGGGGACAACAAAATGTTCTCTCATCCCAGGCCTGTGGCGCAGCCCTTGACAGGACCCATCATAGGTGTTAGTGTATGTGTGTGAGAGGTTACACTCTCTGTGTATACATGCATATGAGCCTGTGTTTGCCTACACTGGAGTCCATCATTGTGGTTCTGCTCATCTATGGTGTTCCCCCTTATTTATGTATGCTAGTGTGTGTGTGTGTGTGTGTGTGTGTGTGTGTGTGTGTGTGTGTGTGTGTGTGTACGCGCGCATGCGCGTGTGTCAGTAAGTGAAGGCATGGCCCTGTCTGTGCACTGATATAATAAGTGGCGACAGTAGGCCCCCCCGTCAAATGCCCCTGTGGTCCTGATGTGTGTGTGTCATGTTGGCAGCTAAGACTGAGGGATTACGGGGATTGTGGGGAAGGAACAAGGAAAGAGCAGCTCATCATGCCAGTCAATAGTAGAGCTTTGCTCCATGTCCAAGGACACAAGCCCTCATTGTCATCGTCTCCTTGTTGGATGACAAGGGCAATGAGTGACAAAGAGGGAGAGGCAGAGAGTGGGGTAATGGAGAAGTCGAGTGATAGAAAGAATCGTGATAGAGAGACAAAAGCAAGTGTGAGTGAATGAATCTTTGTGTTATGTGCCTTATGAAAACATAAGAGGAGATGTTTTGTTTCTTCAGCTGCTATAAGTTAGTGAAAACACCCAAAAAACAACATGCATTTTACTGCTTTATCAAGGTTGTATGAATGATTCAGCTACGCTCCACAGGGGGTATTGATTGTGTTGCAGTCTGCTGCAGATTTGAATCAGAGTGGTTGAGAGCTGCGGTTTATTTTCAGTAATGAAATGGTTAACTGGTGTATTTTGTTTAAGTGATGGGCAGCACTGGCAGAATGAATCAAATTGATTTCAGTCCTCGTCCTCTGACAGGATTCAATTCATTTTGGAAGTAATAATACTGCATTGCTCAACATGTACGGCATAAGTTGGAAGATAAATTATGCAGATTACAAATAAAATCCTGCCGGCAAAACTTATTTTAAACAAACAACTAATTTTGACTGCAAACATGATTATGCAACGTAATTATGTTGCTCTAATCAAACAGCACCACTAATTACCGTAGCAACAAATATGTTTTCACTGTTCTCTTATTTTTTCCTTTACCATTCCTTTTGACGGCCTCTGTTTGGCTGTTGGCAACAACTGATTGTATCAGGTCTCATTTTCTTGGTAACTCTGCATATTGTAGGAGGACATACAAGAGACAAACAATCCTCATGACATGTGTTTTCAAAAATAGTCTTTAGTGCAGAGAACCAGATTTAAACTTCATCGGAAGACAGGAGAAAAGATCTTGTTTGTCATGAATCTGCTGGAGGTTGGAGAAATGTTTAGACAAATCTATACATCTCGTTTTGTCTCTTAAGTACTCTCATCTACTCAAGATCAAACATCAAATATGATTTGTGACCATGGAAACAGGTTATTTTTGGCATTAAATCATCAGTCCCTCGGTGAAGATCATCACTATGGTTATGGTGCCACTCAATTATTTATTCAAATGAAAACAATCTAAACAAACTTTAATCTTCTAATTGAGGGGAAGAATATAGAAATATATGATATACATTTGATCCCATTGACAGGGACATCTGAGTGCACTAAGTGAAGAACATATTAGGCAAGAAATCAAATAAATTGTATGCGTTATCATTTTTATGACATTTAATTTAGTCAGTTTAGTCTTCAGTGAACTGAACTTGATTAAGTGTCTTAAGTACTCAGCTTCAGTTAAGTGATAACAGCTAGTCATTTTATTGCTGTTTCTCAGTTACTAAAGGTGATATATTTGCATAAAGTAGAAGAAATGTTGAAAAGAACAAAGAAAAAGATTCACACTCACTTACTTTTACTGATGGCTAGGAAGTATTGTCATGCAGTAAGGCACAATAGGGAGGATTTTGGTAGCCAACCAAATTCAAGCATGTTCTTCAACTAAATAAACAAGGTTTGAAACCAGAAAGGTAAAGACAGTCATCTAAGTTTAGCAGCAGGACTTCAAACTGACTGAGGTCTAAGCTTTTTCCTCCATGATTATCAACCACGATAGACGGTGTCCTTTCTGGCCTGGTTTCTGCCTAATAACCCTTAAACAAAACAAATCCTAATGTCCAGGGGCTATGTTTATGACTGGCACTGTGCCCTGAACCCCTCTGGTGAAAAGTAGGAAAATGTGATGCAGGTAGTTGAATGCATATTGTTCAGGAGGGGTATGTAAATTAAGAGTGAGAATCTTTAAATTCTCAGAGAGAAAACAGAATGAGTGGTTTTACATTTTAGCACATTTTTGCAAGGTAGGTTTGTCAACTATTGTAGCGGCACTTTCTTGCTCAGATGCCATGAGACAAAGTGAGAGTATGTCACACTCATGGCCTCCAGTGTGTCTAAGATGGAGATTATAAATACTCCTTTATCTATACCTGGCTAGAAAACTGAATGCCATGGGCCCACAGGGCCAATCTACCAACAAGGGCCAGGCAGCATTTTCCCTTTTCAGGTCTGTTCTTTCAATAATTCATGAAATGTGTTTGCTGTTCTTCCTTGACCCTGCACAACACAATACATCTCCCACAGCATGGCTCCCCTCCCATGCATACAAGTATGCCAGTCCAATGAGGGAGCAATGAGTATTTCCAACTGCTCAGTTGCACCAGTGATCTCACACAGAGAGTGTCACTGCTATATCTCATTTGAATTTTACAAACACTACAGCGCCTGGGCTTTAAGCAGCAAATGTGTTTATTAGCCATCTGTTACACTGTGTGCCAGGGTGTTGGGGGGGGGGGGGGGGGGGGGGGGTGGCTTCAAGAAGTTATAAGTTACAGATTGTGAGACTTCTGCTCTGTGGTATAGATGTATTCCCATATTGATAGGTGACCTCCAAAATCTGGTGCAATGATTTTAATGACTGTGTCATTCCAGTGTAAGTAAAAAAACTGAGGAAACATGACAGTGATTTAGCAAGAAGGTGGGGAGAGTGGCACTGTCAGAGCATCATCTTCAGCATGAGCAGCATGATTATGATAATTTGTCACATTGTGAAGGAATTAGCGAGCTTTAGAAATATCAAATGGGCTCAAAAGTGGACAAATGCGCACACACACACACACACACACACACACACACACACACACACACACACACACACACACACACACACACACACACACACACACACACACACACACACACACAAAAATCATCATTCCAATCTTAGATGCTCTATCTTGCTACTCTGCGAACCCGGTCTGGGTCTTTTGGTCTTATTAGAAAGTGACTCAATCAACAAGGAAGACTGTTAGCTCATCCCAGCCCATCTGCTGCGCTTTGATAACTCATTAATGGAAAAATCCTCATCCCCCATGCTCCTGGTCAGGATTACACATACAGACCCTGCGATTGCATTTCACTCATACTCTATTTCAGAATATGGCAGCAGCATTAAATTAACAAATTGTTGGACTCTTCGAATACTGACTCCATGTGCTGAAATCAAATAATATTTCACTGGCCACAGAAAAAAAAGAGAATGGGACGAGAGTGAGGGAGAGAAAGAGAATGAAACAGAAGGAAAATAGAGTTAATGGATTCTCTTATCAGTTACATTCAGTTCTGTGAGGACTGTCTGTCAATGCGTTTACTCAAATGCCTCATGTCGGTCGGGTGCATTAAGCCCTAGCTTTTTAGTAAAAGCAATTTAGGGTGACTGTATTGCAATGGAATTCTTTAATACTGCAGATGCTTTGTGCTGTGAATGCATTACACAGGGCAATGCAACATAGATGGAAGTTAGCGAAGATGTTTTGTCTGAGCCAAACAACTCAATGTCTCAATATTGAAATAAAAGTCTCGGGCACACCCGGCATATCAAGAAGTTAAATTCAGGGCTGTTTCTGAATTATTAACTGACAAGAAGTCATAGTGTTCATTTGATTTGTCATTTGGAACAAATCAGTAATGGTTGATGTCGGCCAACTTTGTCAAAGATAAATAACTAGCAGACATCTCTCCAACATTCTTGCACAGACAAGAAAAGCTAAGAAAGAGGTTTTTTTTTATTGTGCTGCAAAGAAGCTAGCTCAGTTGTTTTTACAGGGTAAGAAAATAAAAACAACATTCAAGTAGAAACTGCCATTGATTCCTTGTGCTATGCAAGCAGATGGGATTAGCCTTTCTGTCAGCAGAGCTGAAGAGCCAAAAACTATAAATAATATCTGAAGAATATGGTGATTAAAGGATTGTTTTTATATGAATATATTAACTTATAACCAGCCCCCCACCCATTTTAACCACAGCACAACACTTTATCCCACTCACTTCCCTCCCCTTACCCATAGCAGGAAAGTTTAAATCAGTAATAAAATATTCATATGCAGCTATTTGCTTGAGAGAATAATTTATTTTCTTGGGTGGATGCCTCTTTTAGAGATATGCAACTCTGGAATCCTTGAGGGAGCGTTGTGTTGTGTGCTGGTGCTCTTTGATCAGCGGGAATGAAAAGTTGGTTTCAGATGGGGATCAGAGTAAAGAGAGGAGAAGGATTCAGACAAGGGGACCTTGCCATTCACGTTAATGGATTGTGAATACTGAGAGCATGCCTTCTGGACACCATGTCATCATCCTGACACTGGAAATTTTGGGGCGGTGCCAGGAGGGATAGATAGACTGTAGAAGGTAGAAAGCAAAGACACTTGAATAAATGTTTAACACACTTGTCTAGTCAGGAAAAATGAACTTGTACTTTGTTCTGAGATGATGTGGTGTTTACCTCGCTGTTATTATCACCTCTTTAGCTAATCTGTTTAGCCCAATGTGCTTCATTCACTGTTCTCTGAACCAAATTTCCTGTAACACCAACCAACACCAAGAAGCAGAAAACATTTTGAATTTTACTTTTATTCAAAGTCAATTCATGTTCTACTTTTGCCTCAGTACCTTTCTTACTCATGTATGCCCTTTCTACTTGTGTTGTGGAAATTCAGAATTTTTTTCAAATGTTTTATATCTCCAACACCATACGTTGTGTTATATTGCTTAAAGTCAATACAGGTAAAAACATTTTACAGGAACTTTTTCTCTGCCATAATGAAAATAATTTTAAACTCTCAGTTGGTAAAGTAAAGTACAACTTTATCTACTTTCTGAAGTCCTCTCTAGACTCATTAGCCCTAACAAAATCGCACAATATCTACAATGCCCTGTGGTGACAGCACATGCACACGCATACACACATGCAGCCTCAAGCTAATGAAACTGTGTTTAACAGGTTAAGAAGCTTGCACAGGCCTCTTTTATCAGTGAGACACTGACATACATTCTCCTATTCTCACCATTCCTTCTTTCAAATAATATATTCTAATCTGTTTTATAAGTTTTATAACTAGAAGTTTCTTAATCAGTACTGATTCACGTGTCTACCTAAAAAAAAAAAAAGTTGTAAGTTTAAGCATCTGACACTGTGCACTCATGTAAATGCGATTAAGCATTTTTGTTTCCCATTTGGATTTACAGCACAGAAAATGTAGGTGGAGAAGCTTCTATCCATAAAGCCTATATTACAATTTACACACTTGTGTACTTCTGAATGTGCATTAAAAACAATTGGTCTCATTTGTGAAATTTTGTGAATATATTTGCAAATGATACATTCAGGTTTAAAATTCAGATTTAAAACATGCCAGATCCATCAAACGCTCAGAAGCATGACTTCAAACCTTATAAACCTTAAGTAAACTTACCAAACAATCCCCCTATGAAACACCATTCTCCGAAAAAAAGAGAGAAAAAAAATTTCATAACCTTGCAGACCAAGATGGCATTGAAGAAAGTGGAAAAGAAAGAGTTCTGTAACAAAAAAAGTTTAGGTCACTGATTGTAAAAAAAAAAAAAAAAAAATCTTTGGCATACACAGTGGCATTATGACCTACTAAAAGATACCATATGGAAGGAAGTCACACAGCAGGTGAGCATGGTTACATTCTTGCAGAGAAGAGTGCAAGAACTTAAAAGGAAAACTGAAAAAAGCATGTCAGGGCCAGCCAACAGAATTTAAAGACCACAATAAATGACCAGAAAACATGGAGCACTTTCTCTCACCAAAAACTCTTTGGCATTTTTAGATGAGGAAAGTGAAATAACCCTGAGAACTGAAACTAGCAGCAGATTGTCTCAAAAACACAAATCTTGATTGACTATCAGATGACTGGGAGGAAAAATATTTCTACCCATGTAGCTCACACAGATTTCAGTTGTATAATGTTCTCTGTGATTCTGGAGGAGATCTGGTAAGTTTGGGAAAATAGCCCTGATGATATAGTGATGGATCAAGTGTTTTTAGAGCATGACTGATACAAAGAAGCAAATGTTAGGATATCTTGATATCTTGGCCTCTGCTGCTTCGATTTTCATGTTTCCTTTTGAAATCTGTTTCTTATGAGACCCCAACTTTATGGAAGTGTAACACTAAATCACTGCACCACTTTAACATCCAGTTTCATCCATAAAAGTATTATACTGTAATGTTCACGCGTGTCTTCACCATCTGCCAGGACCTGCTTCAAGTCTGATGAAAGTGTGTATGTGTGACACATAAATTCTGTTCTTATTTCAATGACACGCAATGTGTGTAAGCAAGTGAAAGTGTGTGCAAAAGCATGTGCATGTGTGGGTGGTGACTTCTGTTAGTCTGTGTGTGTGTGTGTGTGTGTGTGTGTGTGTGTGTGTGTGTGTGTGTGTGTGTGTGTGTGTGTGTGTGTGTGTGTGTGTGTGTGTGGTTTTTGAAGAAACAGTAAACATGAAACTTTTCATGTACATGTAAACAAACCATAAACTTTATACTCACCATGAAGAGGATGCGGAAGTTGGCCAGTTCTCCAAAGAAATCCTCCACACTAACCGAGTGAGGGTCAAAGGCAAAGTAGCTGCCGATGCTCTCGTACAGCTTCTGCATGTTCTTATGCATGGTGGATAGTTTTTCATACTGCTCCCGGGCATGCTTGCAGAAGCCGTGAGGAGGACAGAGTTAAGGAAAAAAAAATCATGTCTGAAACAGAGACAAAATATATTTTAAAACCTACTGTAGTCAGCAATATAACGATAATGTGTGATAATGTAATGACACCTCGCAAATATGTTCATCTGTGAAAAGACGAGCCATTGTGAGAAATGATCACTTCAGAAGCTTTATTGGATTCAAGAAACCCACCTATGTCAAGGTCAGCAAAACAAAACACTGGATAAAGAAGGGTCAGAGACAATCTAATGTGCCATTACAATAACCTCTCCATCTCACTTTGGAGTCAATAGCATGGTGAGCTAATAGCTGCAGCCCTGGAGTAATGGAAAGGTGTTTTGTAGTCAGCAGCGTGACACAGATGGTTTCTGGAAAAGCTGATTGCAGTCATTGTTCTATTGTTTCTTCCAACAACAGTGGGGTCAGGTTGTTTTGAACCTCACAGCTCACGTCGCACTGTGTAATTTACTGAACAGGCGGAGCACTTTTCTCCTGGTGAATGGCTATTGACAGCCGGCATCAGTTAAGCATTATCACAGCAGCCACTGACCTCATGGAGACTGCGCTTGGAAACTCCAAGACTCACACACCCTGGGTGGGATGAGGACGACACAAATTCACACACACCCACCAACTTGTATATACATGCATGTACACGCTCGCAAACACAGACAAGCATGGGGCAACAACAGCTACCTGCAGTAGAAACTCCATCTTAGTTCCAATGGATCAGCAATGGAGTCCAACACCCGCTGTGTCTTCAATCATTTTCATCTGCATTTGTAATAAGCTATTATTAAAGTTATAGTCATAATATCTGTAATGGCTCAAAGCTTATCACTATGATATGAAATCATTATAAATCTGGTTTCATTCTGTTCTATTGGATATAACATTGTGACAGCATCTCTAAAAATATGTCCAACAGAGCAACAAATACAGTTACATGATCAGACATAATATAATCAACCTGAAGGTTTTGCCAGATTAGCTACCATTTTATTTTGAGTAAAAGAGAGCACACCTGTAATGTTCCTAATAATTACTCATTTCAAAGGAAAACTGTGGTTTGCACAAATGTATTTAAAAAAGTGTTAAAGTTGCCCTTTGCCTTTGTTTTCTCTTACAAAGAAGTCTGACTGCCCTATGGGTTCGTTTAAAACCTCTCTGACTGACTGACCGCTTGTGTTTCATGTCCTGTGAGACTATTTTTTTTAAGAAATGCTGCTATTTTACTTTGGTGAGTACAATGTAATCAGAACAGATAGAACCAAAGACCAGAGTAAGAAAGCAAGTGAAATAAAACCCAAATTGAACCAAACAATGAAACGTGTGTGCCGATATCTGTGTTTTGATCTCTTATTCAATCAGACTTAAAACTGCCCATTAAATTTATAACACTTCAGTTCTGTGTTAATACAGAAACAAGTATAAGTGGCTGTTGAAAAGGGGTTTGCATTGCCAGACATGACAGAATGCTTTAAGTAATAGGTATAATAATAATCCTCTATGAGAACATACACATATTCTTTTAGCTAATTAGATGTGTGTGTATGTATCTGTGTGAATGTCATTCTGAAAGCTTCCCAATTTAACTGAACAAATAAAGACAATGTTACTGTCAAACAAAACAGAAAGGCATAATTGGGATTGTATTTTGCTTCTTTATGTCCTACTTACATGCTAAGGCAGCAGCTTCTTGTTCTCTGTGTCATGGGTACAGTTATAGGCAATTAGTGCTCATGTGCAGTCGTCTTGGCAACATACACAGGCTGTTGGTGCAGCATGTGGCCTGTGATTGTCAGGGCTAAACAGTTTTCAAGATATTGTCCTTTGCGAGCAATCTGCCAGTATGATGTGGAAGCCACTGTTTTTCTACATTACCATTTATTTATTGTTTGTTTGTTCTGTCATCTTGGTAGAATTCCATGTCGAAGTCCAGGGATTGTTCTGTGTCCCTAACCAAGTTAGTAACGCTCAATTTATTTATTTTTTTCCATGGCTTTTAAATAGACCTACAACATTTATTTGTGCTTGCTCTGTATGCATGTGATGTATGTGTGCACTTAAATATGCTCACATTTAAGCTTGTATTTGTGGAAAGGCCTTTGTGAAGCTGAGAAGGAATAAGAAACTGACGAGGTAGGCTGGTTGGATTTACCTCCCTGCAAGCTAGTGTTTACCAAAGCAGAGCAGCGATTAGCAGCAACCAGGATAGCAGCAACCCCACGCACAGGCCCGATGGATGGACTCATCCTTCTGTCTTTGTTCTTGTTTGCCTCTATCTACTTGTCTGCCTTGGCCTGATTTGTCCCCCTTCTGTGGTCAGACTGCCTTTATCTCTTCTTCTTCTTCTCTTCTTCTTCTTCCTCCTCCCCCTCACTCCACTTGTGTGTGAACACTCAGGGGTCCAAGAGAGAGATTTAAAAAGTTAAACTTTGGAAAAATTTGTTTGGTAAAGTCTTAAAATGATCCTTGTAAAGAAAAAATCACTTTCTGGGAGCAATCTACCATGAACAGCGCCATATGGTATGGTGTCATTTATTAGTGAAACTGAACCTCAGTACTTCATCCAAAAATTCAAATGCAGTTTCGAGTGCCAGGCTGAGCTTCATATAAAATGCTCCATCTCAACAATGCCTAATTGGTCAGAATGGAAAATTAACTCTCAAGGATGAAATGATAATTGTAAAAACAAGAAAGAATAAATATTTATAATGTTAAACTGAAAACTGTAACCAAGGATCAGCAACAGGTTCATGTCAAACAGCAACAAAAACATCAGTGTGTCAATTCAGCAGCAAAGGACATGTGGATATTACTCAACATTGGCATGTAAATGCTTATTAGCAGCATTTACATAAAACATTGATCGACTCCAGAGCAGCGTCCACACACTGTGTTTAGCTCAGGAAATGTTCGGGTCAAAACTGTTGCCGAATGAGAGTTAAAAACATTGAAGCAGTGGTTACATTTGGTACTTGTTGTGGCTTGTGGCTCTGTGTTTCTCTTTCTCTACTTCTCTCTATTCTCTCTCACACACACTCAAATACACATGTATGCATATGCACAGTGGTAGATGTGTCCCGCTGGGGACTGGACTGAGGCTGGCTGGGCTTTTGCTCCTTGTATTTCCACATCAAAGACATGTCATATTGATGGAGCCTGACGCACACTATCCTGCAGCAACAAAACCGGTATGGTAGAGCCCTCATCAAACACACATACAGACACAGAATGAACAGGCAAACACTCACACACACGCATATATATAGTCCACATGCACAGAGACACACAATCATTCTTTGAATGCCTCTGTGCGGTTGTCTGTTACTCTTTTCTTTCCCTTACTTTCTCACAGTCAGTGTAGCCTTTATGGTTACTCCTTCTCCAAAGATAAATCTTTTTCTATTTCTTTCTCTTTTCTTCCTGTCCACCACTGTCTTACTCAAACCCATTCCCTTTATAATTCTCTTTCTACATTTCCCCTTGATATTCTTCCCATTAAATTCTCTCACTCAGACAAGAACTCCCTTCTTTCTCTCCTACTCAGAGTGAACTTTCAGGAGTCTGCTGTCTGAGCTGTGTCTGGTATTCACATCACCTGGGCTTTAAGCAGAGCAGGGAGCAGAGGCGATGGGACTCAAGGTAAAGCATCATGCAGCCTTTGGTTGGCCTGACCCTGTTTATCAGTCTCTGCTCTCCTCTTCTCATAGTCCTCAGAGAAGGGCTCCTGTCTGCACTTCTCGTGCACTGAACCTGACCAACACAGTGCAAGATAAATGTTCCAGGGCTGGAAGGCTCGATGTTGCACATGTGGATGCTACCAAATATATCTGTGGAGTGCCTATTGTATTTTATGATCCAATGGATGGTCAGATAGTCTATTTCAGTAACTGAAGCTGGCACAACTGGAATTATATACAATTATAGTTAAAAACAGGCTTGAGGAATAGCAGCGAATCTAAGCATGTAACACAAAGGCTTGTCACACAATACTCCAGTTTCTGACAGCATCGTATCAGACAGTGTCAATTTACAAAGAGGACGTCCAATGTGAAATGTGACATCAGTGGCACTGCTCTGTTGTTCATGTTTTTATAATTCCCTCTCTAAAATCCCCTGTTCTTGCCAAAATGCACCATGTCCTTGTAAAAATCTAGAATTAGTTCTTTGTCCTGCCACAGTGTCCTCATTACTGTGTTTAATCAGTCACTTTCTATCTGTATGTTTGACATGCCAGAAAGAGTACATTTAACATCAGTAAGCTGCGATTAAGGGCACTCGTTTTTAACACCACAAAGTGACATCAAAATCATATCCAAGTCAGACTTACCCTAGATGTAAAAAAGCTGGGGCTAGACTTCATTCAATTTCACGATAAAACACAGAGAAAGAGGGGAAAAAATCCATTTATGGGCCAAAACAAAGTTAAAACAGTTTTCACAATGGCCACCTATGAGGATGGCAATAAATTACCTGGTTTGTTTACCTGTGTGCATGAGAGAGTTATTAAAGTGCTGCATAAAACCCTACAGTGTGGGCCCAAAAAGCCTCCTTAATAAATCTCCTGTAACCTAGTTCCATTAATGTTTATTTAATGCTTTTCCTATGTGCTTGCTGGCCCCTCCGTCCAAGGCCCCACACTAAGCCTGCTTTTCTCAAAACCCCACCATCGCTACTCCCTTTATCCCCACACCTACTGCCAACAGTCCCTGTGGGCCAAATTACACCAAAGCTGCCCACTGACTGGACACAACCCATCATGCTGAGAGAGAGATAGAGAGATAGAGAGAGAGGCAGAAAAAGAGAGGAAGGGAGATAAAATGTAAGAATTTTAGTTACTAAAATCAGTGAATTTATGCATCAGATTTTATTCTTTTATTTCTATTTTTCATAATAAAACTAAAATTCTTTGTGTTTGATGCCGGCTTTTTTGAAAATTAAATAAGTTTGCATTTTTGCAAGCATCACTTGCCTCAACTTTCTAAAGA